AACTGCTGTACCCTGGTTCATACTTTGTAAACTGATTGCCTCCATTCCATTTGGTCAATTTGGAATCATGTTCCCCGTTCGTTTTCGAGAAGTTTGTTATTGACTAGTAATCAATAGTGCTTCTTACTTAATTGTCATTTTCTAACTGGCTGTTCACGTTTGAAGTACTTTTAACTGATCTATCTCCTTTCTCTCGTTAATGTATTGTTGCTTAACTGATAGGAATATTTCCCTTATTATGATAGTCGATTTTTGTCAAATATCTTTACTAACTGGAAACGTATCAGTGAGTATAGTTAATTTTATTTCTAAACACATTTTTTCTACTGTACCCCATCTATGATACTTCGAATGCCTGTCACGTCGTTACGCAAAGTTGTTGGTTATTATCGTTTTTTATCGGCTGAACCCAAAGGAGCATAATTTCAGGACCTCTAACGTCTGAAGTAGTCTAGTCTAGGGCTTTGAACACTTATTTGCACCTCATTCATATTATCAGTATTGATTTATGTAAGGTGTGTAGCTCAATTGCGAACATACTGAATGTATATTTTGGATCCAGACAATGAACTTTTCACAAGCCTCTGCACTGAAACGTTACCAACCGAAATCGATACTTTGTACACACCGAGCTGGGCCAATTCGACATACTCTAGGTGATTAAACTTGGTTCTCTCTTCGATTGTTTGTGAACCTTAAATTTGCTTTACTAATACCATTGTTTTTGATTGAGATCATGAACCGATTGATGTTAGACCACCATGGAAAACCTGGGAGCACTGGACGACCGTTTCGTCCAATTGTGGGACACCTCAGTCTCGCGCGCGAGACTGAAGGCCCTGGGTTCGAATCCCGTGGGGGCGGGATCGTGGATAAGCACTGCTGAGGAGTCCCACAATAGGACGAAACGGTCGTCCAGTGCTCCCAGGTTTTCCATGGTGGTCTAACATCAATCGGTTCATGATCTCAATCAAAAATTGGACAATCTCCACAGCACCCAGACTGATAATACCATTGCGTCGTATTAGTAGATAGTGAAACAAATGCCTACACGCTTTTGCCTTCAATAATATATGCACATAACAGTGTTTCAGTTAGGCTTACTGAGTTTTCTGTATTCTGTGGCGTTCTGAAAAAGCTTTGTCTCCGTCATCAGACCTAAACAAGAATTACAGACTCATTGTTTTCAGCACTCACTGACTGATTAAAATGCCCTTAGGTTATAGACTTAGTTCCTACCTATATGGTACTTCATCATCATGTTGACGTAGTTTGCATATGTAAGTGCTCTTCAAAATAAGGCAGATGAACTAACTCGTCGGAACTACATATATGGAGCTTGAAGTAAGACTATGAGTACAGTTTTACCATTTATTCACATATCAGAACAAAGCATATATTCATGGTCAAACTTAAAGTTTCAATAATCGTGCTCTGACGAGTGCAGTATACCTACATGAGTAACCTAAACCACTTGAGGACATTCATTACATTTATACTGAGTTTTAAACATGACTGACTCCGCTCACTAATAAATGAGACGCTGACTACGTCAAGGCACTCTACATTCTAAATAACGATTACGGTTGTCCAAGCAATTACATTCTACCTTGCCATAGCTCGATGTAGTACAGTGAGCATCGAGAACAGTAAACTCGAATAACACTCGTTATTTAGATGTGATGATTTTGAGCTGAATTAAATACAGGATGACAACATTTCTGAATACCCTATAATACGTTTAACCATGTCATGAGTTACTTTCGCGGCATGCTTAGCCTCAGTATTTATGTGCATATCGCATGAGACGTCCACCAAACATAAAGGTCAAAAGCACCCCTTACAGAATATATGATGCCTAAGAAAATGTTTCTCAAATACCTTGCAAAAGTTTAGCGTTCGTTGTTGATAACCTTTTATTGCAACATTCAAGTTAATTTAGCCTGGATTTCTCTATGAATTTTGTAAAGCAAAAAGCTGACGGAATCTATAGATCGAAATTATGTGGATGAAAAATTGCTGGAACTTTATTAAGTGGATGTTCATGATTTAACACATAGTTAGAAAACGCATTAAATACAACATGCAGCTGTGAACAAATCAACGAAATGCATGGTTATGTAGGTCATTGGTAATGACTATGATCTCACTAATTTCGCTGAAAACACCATGGCTGAAAACCCTCGGTCAAGCATTCGTATAAAATCACTATTAGGTATATCTTGCTACACATCCCTCACAACTGGTTAGCCTAGTTCATATGCTTCTTATCACGTCGACTATTATCTAAGAATATCTTCGGAATCCTCCGCTTCTGATTTCTGGTTTCACTAGGTTAGGGATCTGCGATCATAATTTCCTTGCAGTCAACGGTGTTATTAAGCTCTGAATATCTGTGATATATTTACTTTCACTTCGGCCTGCCTACACCCTGACCAGAGTCAACTGATTTCTTGGTCTATCATACCCTGTGATTTATTACATACGCCTTTGAAAATCGTGATTCATCACACCAGATTCTCTAAGCTCTTTATAAAGTACCTTACTAAGTTCTTCATCATAAACCACTGATAAGAGCAGAAATGAAGGTAACATTGGCACCGAACGGCTAAAACCTGACTTCTTAGAATTCAAGTCCTCTATGGACTTCGCCCCAACTAATGAAACAACACTATTTGCAGAGTTAAGATGAAGGCCATACCATACAAGCTTTAGGACGGACCATTACCAATTTAGATGCTTATATGTTTGCTACAGTATAGAAAACCTTAGTGCGATCCAAACTTGAAAGCTTCGTTCATGCTTCAAGCCCCTGTTTAATGGGCGACCTGTATATCTGGGTAAACGTACAATAGTCAGCTACTCGTCAAATTCCAGAACTTCGGAGTTTACCATACGAAGAGCGGCTTAAGAACCTAAAGGTCTTAACTCTATTCCAGCGCAGATTAAGAAGCGATCTCATTTTGGTGTATTGAAAATTATGAAATGATTTGGAGCCAGATATATCCTCTCTTTTCCTTCCTTCCAGATCAGGACAACTCGGAGTGCCAGACAGCTAACGCCGAAGTCACACCTCGCCGTCAGCACCTTACGTGGATTACCCTTTCTTCGTATTAAGGCAGTATGAACGCTTTGATGAACAGACAACACAAAGGAAGTTGTTACAGAAATGTAATAGTAGGAGTAGGTACAAGAAATTGCGCGACCACCCCATGGAGCGAATTTAACCAATGCGCGTTGGTTGCCCTTGACCTTGACGAGGATCGGTTAGCCGGTCGACCTTATTTGAACAGACTTCTGGGTGATTTGACGTATCACTGGCCCTACAGATAAATTCTTGTATCCTATTACCTAATGAAGAGATGGTCACCCTTAAAACCGACTCACATAAGATAATATCGTGAACTCTCATAAACCTGTTAGAAACAGACTAACACAAGTTTTAGGTTTTTTGTTCTTTATACTTAAGTCTGAAAATAATTGTTAATTTTATGCGTTTGCGTTACGTCAAGGTCAAAGAGGTGCTGTTTATTCATTAATCGTAACGTTTTCGGATTACACTACTGGACTGAGTGAGTTCCTGATGTGCTTACTTTGTGTGAACAATCTTGTAAAGAAATAGTGACTTCATTTTCCTACAATATATAAAATTATCTGTCTGCAAACCCTACCGTTGGTTCTTTATAAGTTGACTCCTTCAATTTTCGAAAAGTACCTTACCTAATTGGGCATTTAGAAGCTTAGATTCCTTAGATATCCGTACGTACCGTAAAAGCTGTGATCTAACCCCATATAATTATTTCTCTTCATATACTATATGGAACTCGCCTTGTCGAGTTCTCCAGATAGTCAGTCTCCATATTAAGGCTATTTGAAAACCATATACATAACAGGGCATTTTCACTTCGACTGATAAACATTTTAAGTCCGTCTGCTCGTTCCCTTTCCTCCTAAAAGACAAAATATCTTCAGGAATGTTCTCACCAATCTTACTGAGAGGACTACCAAATACTGGTATAAGCTTCTGTCTCTGCGGAAAGTCATTCTAAAAAATTTTCACGCATTTTGAACTAGCTATAATACTGCAACACTGCATTTTTAAAGTCGACTCAAAATTCTATGGCATAACAACTTTATCCCATCCTCAATTTTTGACATGAGTGCTAGAATTTTAGTAACCCGAGCCGTAAATGTTTAAGTAGATCAAATAGTTAAATTTAGCCTATTTCACATGGCACGCTGGTCATTTCTTAATTAGTGGATTTGCAGACGAGAATATTAGGAGATTCGGCATTGTCTTTGACAATACTTTAACCGTGGTTCTTAAAAACAATAAACTTCCACACTGGACATTTAGTTGTCATTCCAAATAGCGACCATTCACCAAAATCATGTTTAACTATAGCCTTTTGTGGAATAATTTTTTTAATAAATCTAAACTCAATAGCTTCTTGTTCAGTTATCATTTTCCAATATTGAGTGCCACTATTCACTACTTGTTGTAATTGGAAACTATAAGGTAATTCGCCCGGCTACTACCTTCAGTCACTGTTCTAAAACTTCGGCTAATCGATTTGCTTAATGTCATTGATTTAGGAAAACTTGGATTCTATTTTTTGATCTCAATTCTCATTTCTGTGTCAACTGCATACTATCTCAAGACATTCCGTAACCTTATCGTTACAAATACGAAGAGGTTTGCCTCAATTGTCTTTGCTTTCATTCATGTTTGATTATTCCAAATTACGTATTTTTGTGCTGACTGACTCAACAAGGTTTATGACTTCAAAACTATTGGTTAGTTAAGGTATGAGATTAGATGTCAATCGGATTTAGCCTCTTCAGAAAAGTCCTCCAAATAACATTTGAGCAAAGATTTTTCTTTTGTTTCAGTTCAAATAAATACTGGTGGTTGTTCACAGGTAATCAATCACTATTTTAATAACGACTCAACTAATAAATTCCTTTAAAAATTATTTCACTCTTTAGATTCATTATAAATGATGAGTAGAATTAGGACATCTCTTGGAGTTTTAAGTCTTGGATTTGGATTGTTCACTGCAGAAGCTTTGTATTCTGGAAATGAACACTTTTATAAGGATTGGTTTTTACCTACTGCCCGTCTCTTAGTCCGTAATGGTGAAACTGCCCACAATTTATCAGTTTACTTAGCAAGTCATGGTTTTATACCACATAAACCTCGAAACGCATTCCCTCAACTAAAATGTAAAGTTTTTGGACTCGAATTCGACCATCCCATAGGATTAGCTGCAGGTTTTGATAAAAATGGAAAGGCATTTATGGGTCTCTTAAATGCAGGATTTTCACATATTGAAGTTGGAACTGTCACCCCGGATCCCCAGCCAGGTAACGCACGTCCTCGTATATTCAGATGGAACGAGAAAGAAGCGGTAATAAACCGGTAAGGATAACTTTCTACTTTGTAAAGTAACTGTGTGAATCTTTCAGTAGCCCATAACAATCATATCTAAAGTATGATTTACTCAATCTGTTTTAATGAACAACTCTAAATGGAAAGTTATATTAAGCAAATAATGATGTTTACGGATAACTTATATACATACGAACCGAAGCATTATCGTTGTAAGTATTGATCTTTGTTTTATTGCTCGGTTGGCATTATTCTATTTGTTTCACTCTCAGTCCCTACACCTATGTAAACTCACCGTCCATACTTCATACAGTTAGGCTTTTATAAACAAGCGAACATCATCAACTTAGAACCTGGTACAGACAGAAGACTGATTCTTGGGAATATGGTTTGAAAAGTGATGCTCACTACGCTAATGTATTCACGACTCCAACTCCTGTATAATGAGTTATACTGCTTCTATCCTTTTCGTCCCTTTCCTGATAAGTGTAGAGAAAAGTTCGATTTCGTAATGGAAACTTCAGTGATGACTTGGATATAATTAGAAATACACTTAAAATTATTCAGTTTCATATCAGTTACAATAATTAAGACTTTTGAACTAAATAATTGTCACTAAACACAATCGTAGTAAACGTTTATTGAAAGTTCACAATTAATATAACGAAAATTTGTTGAAGTTGAGCTAAGATCCACTTTAGTCGATATTGGTTTCCTTCCTCGTAAGTTGTATTCAGAGATGGCACATAAAAAAAGACATATTGTAAAGGTTTGTATGAAGAGATACTTTAATTCATGATAAAGAGTGAATGCAACTACTGCATTATGAACGATTCTAAATTTATTTTTTTAATTTATTTAAACACATAAATATTGATACAAAAGGGCACCGAATACATATATGCCACACATGTCACTTTATTTGTGTGTGGGTTATGATACTACTCGGGTGCCCAAACCGAAACAGGTGGTTTTCTCAGGGGGCCTTTCCCCGAGCCCTTGACCCAAAAGTCTAATCCACAAGGCAGTGGAGCAACGTCAGAAGATGCAGTCTCATGGTAGCCGGTAACCAATGATTGGTTCATACTCCATTTGTTCCCTCAAGATGTTGGGGCCCATGTACACTATTGGTTTGGAATCAGGGTTTTCCGACTCTTTAAGGTGGACCCTTTATATTCACCAACCCAGTTAAAGCGCCGGACATTCGCTTTCCGTCCTCGAAATTCCATAAACAACTTCGTTCCAGTCCCCAAACGCCCTAGTACGGTCGAGAGTGGGGAGAGTCAGCTCCCCCTCTCGAAATGCTCTCAAGTGGCCACGTGCATACAACCACTGCCTTCCCGTGGCGGGGGTGTTGTTTACAAAACTGAGAGGACGAAAAGTGAATGTCCGGCGCTTTAACCGGACCGGTGGACACTGTCAGTCCACCTAAGGGAGTTGGGAAACCCTTATTCCAAACCAATAGTGTACATGGGCTTCAGTATCTTGAAGGAAAAAATGGTGCATGAACCTATTGTTGGTCACCGGCTACCATGAGACTGCATCTTCTGACGTTGCTCCACTGCCTTGTGGATTAGACTTTTAGGTCAAGGGCTCGGGGAGTGGCCCTCCAAGAAAACCACCTGTTTCAGTTTGGGCATCCTTGCAGTATCCCAGCCCTCACATAAACCATTTGATGTATGTGGCACATATCTGTTTGGTGCTTCCTTGTGCCAATGTTTATGTGTTTAAATAATAAATAAATACCCCTGCCACAAGAAGGCAGTGAGTAGGACTTCCCTGGCAGTGGTTGTATACGCGTGGTCATGTGAGGGCATTTCGAGAAGGTGAGCTGACTCTCCCCACCCTCGACCGTACCAGTCTTAAACCACAGTTTACAGTTGAAATGTGGACCCCAACCAGGTAGCCTGCATCTACATGGTCCAAACCAAAGCTCAATGAATTCATAGATTGATGCCATATTTTGGTTTATCCGCCCTTAGTTGTCTTTCAACCTACTTCTGCACTACTAAACATCGCTTATAAAGGTAGGCAATAGTCGGTCTTACGTAACATATATCCTAACCGTATCAATCAATGATTTCTAACCTCACCAACCGACTTGTCACTTTCCAATTACTCTATGTCTAACCTCAACTGTGCCCACTCGGTTGTTTCATAAAACGCCAGAAATGTTCCATAGACACCTATGATCCCAAACTTTTGGCTAACATATGTCTTCTACTTTCATAGACCATATTTTACAGCCATAAAGTACAATAGAGCAGACTGTCAAACACTATAGATGCCCCTTAATCGGGAGACGAATATTTCGACCCCGCTTGCAACCCTCCTTGGGTTATTGCCAATCCCATTTCCGAATAAAGGAGCAGGGTTGAGCATAAAGTCACCAACTCCATCCCGTAAAAAACAACCTTGCTAAAAAAACGCTGACCAGAAAAAATCATTTAGACGACCTAAACTCTGCCCTAGAAGTCGAAGAATCTCCATTTATAATAGTTATGACGCCTCATGATGAAAGCCGAGATTCTTCGATAATCATGAGACCGATGGCCCTTTTTATAACCAGAGTAACAATTATTATAGGTACATGGAATGTCCGAACCATGTAGGAGACCGTGAGCACCAAACGAATAGCCTCAAAAATGAGGGGATAAAACTTGGTGGTTCTCAAAATAAGTGAAACCCATTGAATCCAAGTTGGACAGAAGAGATGAGCTTCGGGAGAGGTGCTGTTGTACACACAAGTAATTGCACTAATCCTCTCCAGAGAAGCACGAAGAGCACTTATAGGGTCGTAATCTCATGGACCCGTAATCACCAAGGCATCCTTCAAAACATACTGTTACCAATTCAGCTGTTGAAGCAGGACATTCCTAAAGCAACATGTCGCATTTAGTGGGACAGCATACAAGCAACTCTCTGTAGGAATCTAGTCAATAAGTGCCTTTCCAGCTTTCTAACTTCGTGCTTTACCTACACCGGCAAGATCACGAGTTGTTGATTCTCAGGATACACTTATGGCATATTGAGTTTGCTTTCCATACTGTCTGCAAATAGTCGAGTAGATCCTCATATTGGGATTCTGTGTCCGTGTTTTGAACACACAGAATATATCTATTTTATGAGATTCTAAGGTCTTAGTTTTCAACACCTGTTGTTCAATTTGTGATAGGGCTCGGACATTATAAGCTCTAACATATAGTTTAAAACGCGATTTGAAGAGATCTGGGGTGGCATATTGTGAACACAGACCGTTAGCATTGGTAGCACGCTAAAGAATTCAAATACATAAGATGAGTGTTGATGATAGAAGTAAAGGTGATATTTGTTAATGATGGTGTTCGATTATGAATGAGACGATCTCGCGTGTTATTAGAAGTATGGGAGCAGTCGTTGCCTTTCAAGCGCTCACATTACAGTAACGTATTTCTCCTTGAGTGACTTGAGAAGGAAACTGAATTAGTGGTGATCTTAGAGACTTGGAGACGCAGATGCTTTGACTCATTTGAGTGAAAACTACCGGTATTTGAAATAAATTATCTCTTTAGGTTGGGACGAAAATATGAATTGTACCCATGCTTTCTACATAGAGCAGATACTCCATTCTTAGCACAAATAAGACGGTCGTTAGTTCTGCATGATTTAGACTTTATTTCTTGGGTCTCAATTGTTCAAAATTCTACCAATGAAGATATATTTTAGAATTAGTCTTTTAATCTAAAATCTATTAACTTATATTGTGTGATCATTTGGTACGTTATATAGCATGCTGTTTATACTGGAGTCTTTTATATTTAATATAAGACGTACCATTCACGTGTTTGTGGACTGACTTTGAGATACACCTGTTGTGTATGTCAATTTTAATAATTGATTACCGCAAGCATAATGGGTCGGGCGGGTTTCTAACCCTCTAGTTAATATTTCATAGTCAAACGTGTATTTTTACCATCTCAAATACCTTCATGCACTTAACCGATTTGCCTGTTGCGGCAATCGAATCAAGTTATATTATCTGTTTTGTATTTTCCGAATTGTTACTAGTCGTATTCATTCTGTTATCATTTCAGATGTGGGTTTAACAGTGATGGACATGATGCTGTATATGAAAGACTCAAAGATCGTCCATGGGAAGGTAGGCTAATTGTAAGTACACTGACTTTACTAAGTTTAAATATTCCTTCATATTTTTGTCATTGTATTTATCATTCATAGAAAATTTTCACTCATTTAATTTTCTTTCCGTACTCTTTTAGATTTTTTCGTAAATTCAAGTTAAATGATTGTTCAAAGTTTGCAGTTCCCATGTTAATCATGTATATATGCTGACTTATTTTGTAAACTGTTTTAACGGTCTGCTTGATTTATAAAGTTCTGTCTATCCATATAGTCCCAGTGCCGTACACACAATATATAAACATTCACGTGAATGTTTGACTTAATCAAGTAGATGTGTATATGTGGTAACTGGTAAAGTAGCTAATTATATATATATATATATATATATATATATATATATATATATATATATATAATTCTTTCTGGTTAGCGTTTTTTTAGCGAGTTAGTTTTCTACGGGATGGGGTCGCTAACCCCATGCCCAACCCTCCTCCTTTATCCGGGCTTGGGACCGGCAGTAGCCCCCGGAAAGGGGCTCCAGGCGGAGTATGTATGAAACAACAAAGAAACTCTGGAAATCACCGTAAACCAGAACGACCAGTGAAAAACAAGGAAGGCAAGATAATCACCAACATTGAAGAACAACGAAACAGATGGGTAGAACACTTCAAAGAACTCTTGAATCGACCAGCCCCACTGAACCCACCCAACATCGAAGCAGCACTCACGGACCTCCCAATTGATGTTGGCGCACCAACAATTGAAGAGATCAGCATGGCTATCAGACAAATCAAGAGTGGCAAAGCAGCAGGACTAGACAGCATTCCAGCAGAGGCACTGAAAGCAGACGTAGCGGCAACTGCAAGGATACTCCACATTCTCTTCAGAAAGATCTGGGATGAGGAACAGGTACCAAAAGACTGGAAAGAAGGACTCCTGATCAAGATACCAAAGAAAGGCGATCTCAGCAACTGTGACAACTACAGGGGAATCACTCTTCTTTCAATACCAGGAAAAGTCTTCAACAGGGTATTGTTAAACAGGATGAAGGACTCCGTAGACGCCCAACTTCGAGACCAACAGGCAAGATTCCGTAAGGATAGATCGTGCACAGACCAAATCGCAACTCTACGGATCATTGTGGAACAATCAATTGAATGGAATTCATCACTCTATATCAACTTCATCGACTACGAAAAAGCATTTGATAGCGTGGACAGAACAACCCTATGGAAGCTTCTTCGACACAACGGCGTGCCTCAGAAGATAGTCAATATCATACAGAATTCCTATGATGGATTAAACTGCAAAATCGTGCATGGAGGACAGTTGACAAAGTCGTTCGAAGTAAAGACCGGTGTCAGGCAAGGTTGCTTACTCTCACCCTTTCTCTTTCTCCTGGTGATCGACTGGATCATGAAGACATCAACATCTGAAGGGAAGCACGGGATACAGTGGATAGCTAGGATGCAATTGGATGATCTAGACTTCGCAGATGATCTGGCTCTTCTATCGCATACACAACAACAAATGCAGGAGAAGACAACCAGTGTAGCTGCAGCCTCAGCAGCAATAGGTCTCAATATACACAAAGGGAAAAGCAAGATTCTTCGATACAACACAACATGTACCAATCCAATCACAATTGACGGAGAAGCTTTGGAAGATGTAAAAACCTTTACATATTTGGGCAGTATCATCTATGAACACGGTGGATCTGATGCAGATGTGAAGGCACGGATTGGCAAAGCAAGAGCAGCATACCTACAACTGAAGAATATCTGGAACTCAAAACAATTAGCAACCAACACCAAAGTCAGAATTTTCAATACAAATGTCAAGACAGTTTTACTGTATGGCGCGGAAACCTGGAAAACTACGAAATCCATCGTCCAAAAGATACAGGTGTTTATTAACAGTTGTCTACGCAAAATACTTCAGATCCGCTGGCCGGACACTATAAGCAACAACCTACTGTGGGAGAGAACAAATCAGATCCCAGTGGAGGAAGAAATCAGGAAGAAGCGCTGGAAGTGGATAGGACACACATTGAGGGAAGCACCGAACTGCGTCACAAGACAAGCCCTCATATGGAACCCTCAAGGTCGAAGGAGGAGAGGAAGACCAAAGAATACATTACGCCGGGAAATGGAGATAGATATGAGAAAAATGAACAAGAATTGGATGGAACTAGAAAAGAAGGCCCAGGACAGAGTGGGTTGGAGAATGCTGGTCGGCGGCCTATGCTCCATTGGGAGTAACAGGCGTAAGTAAGTAAGTAAGTAAGTAATATATATATATATATATATATATATATATATAACATTTTCTCAATTTAACCTGTTTTAGGCCGTGGTATAATTGGTGTCAATTTGGGCTGCAATAAAACAAGTACAGATCCAACTGCTGATTATGTGGCAGGTGTTCGGAAGTTTGGCGAAGTAGCTGACTATTTAGTAATCAATGTATCTAGTCCAAATACCCCAGGACTACGCTCCCTACAGACTAGAGAAAAATTACGCGATCTCTTATCTAAAGTAAGTTTAGCACATACCGAATACAGAGATTGTTATTTGGTATGAATGTTTAACTCAAATTTCCATAAAATTCAAACTTTGTTTGGTGATGACATTCAGACTGAATCTCTGAAAGTCAAATAACTCAGTAACTTAGAGTAATCTCAAAGGTAGTGCTGCGAGAACTTCTTACTTTGCTCCTTGTGATGAGTAAGCTTCACTTTTGTGGAAAACAAAATATCTATTATTCATGTTCTTAAACTGTATGCTTACACAGTTTACTTTTCTGGTAGTGATGTGGTGTGTGCTACTTATGTAGACATAAGTAGTATATGACGTGAGCACTGAACAGAATGTCTGGCGGCAGAGAGATAAGAAGATCGAACAATAAAGAATGAAGACAAAAGGCAATTTGTATGAAAATGCAAGAACAAGGGGATTCTGAGTGATTTGAGACAATTGATGAACAATTTGCAAATTAACGATTCAATATATGGTTGTTTGATTTTACTAACTAGTTCTGTAATTGACTGTACAATACATTGGATTGTCCCCACTGGTGTTTAATTCACTACAGTGATACAGCTTGTTTATTATATAAACATAGAAAATTTTGGGTTTTGTTTGTAATGTAGGTCAGTTAGTCATCTACAACGTAGAACCAAACACATATTTATCTGTCCAAGTTGCCACGCCTCATTAGCACAACATGATGAACACCAAATTCATAGAACTAGTTACTTCAATGGTATTAATATATAAAAGAAAGATCGAATATAAAGATATGATACATGGAGAAAGAATTAGTTCGTAGAAGGTATAAAGTAGTTTTAATCCCACGGTTTAAGGGAAGACAAAGAGTGTACACACCTACTCCATTGTGATCGATTCTGAGCCATGTCACTCAGTCTCCAACCACTGGTTACAATACTCGCACGGATTCTAACCAAGTCGGCTGCATCTACCAACGTGTCTCAGGTCAGAAGTTAATGATTTCGTGGACTGATATCACGTTTTGCTTTGGCCGCTCCCAACTTCCTACCAACCATCTTCAACACTAGTCAGCATTGCTCACCGTGGTAGTCGGTGGTTGGGCATAAGTAATATGCGTCGAAGATCCACAACCTCATCAGCTGATTTGCCATCATTCCCTAATACCTTGTGTTTAATCTCACTATTACTTACCCGGTGATACCAGCAGATGCTGGCAATATTTCTAAGACATCTGTGATCAAATACTAGCAACTTAGGAGTATCTTCTACTCTTAATGGCCACGTTTCGCAATCGTAAAGTAGAAGAGAACAAACTGCTAGGCAGTTTACTCGTTTTCGAATTGATATACGGAAACCTCACCTTCGCCATAGGTGACGTAGGTTGGCAAAAGCCAAAGGAGCCTTTTGCAGTGTAATACATTCATTAGTAGCCCATCATGTCAAGTTTTAATATATTGTAAAAAACCAAGTAATTAACTTTATTTTACAGTAAATCAAACCAAATAGTGTTCTTTGGAAGTAATACCATATTGAGAATGACTTAAAGTATACATTCTCCCAGTTCATTAATTCGTTTTAATTGTTCTTATTTGTCATTGAAATGTATTTAACACTGTCTATTTTTTATTCAACAGAATTTCTTATTCTACTTATTTAGGCCCAATATTATGAAGCTCTTTATAGGACGATCACTAGTTGATTTCCTCTGTTTAACCGAATGAAATTATCGATGATTTAGAATTCAAGTTGATATTCATCTCGACGATATAGATTCATTTATATTTTACATAACTGTAATTTTATCAGTCAACTATATTTTATCGATTTATAAACAAATTTAGATATTCATAGTGCTTTTATTATACTACTCAATAACTTCATTAGTAAATAAAATAATCCAGTGCTTCCTGGTTTTTAGTGGTGGTCTAACATCAATCGGTTCCTGATTACAATCATAAATTTAACAATCTCCACAACCCCTAAACTGATAATTACCATGTGCACACTAGTGACTAGCTTCGTGAGAAAATTCTCAGAGTTCTGGTGAGAAGCTGTGACCAGTGGAGCTAATCCGTGTCGGGTAGAAACAAGTGTCTACCTCAGTACAATGGAAGATGGTCGCGCAACTTCGTAGATTGGTTAAGGTTAGACATTAACACCATTGGATGCCGGCTCAGTGGTCCAGTAGGTTAAGCATTCACGCGCGAAACTGAAGGCTCTGGGTTCGAATCCCGCGGGGATGGGATCGTGGATGCGCACTGTTAAGGAGTCCCACAATAGGACGAAACGGTCGTCCAGTGCTTCCAGGTTTTCAATTGTAGTCTAATATCAATCGGTTTATGATCTTAATCGAAAACTTAACAATCTTCACAACCCCTAAAAACATTTCTGTTAAATTGCATATATTATGGAATTATAACCAGATTTATTTAATAGTTATGCTACTTAATATCTTGAATATATATTACTTAATAAAAAAATCTTTTATTATGAAAAAAAAATATGATCTCTTCATAGGTTTTATCAGCTCGAAATCAATTATTGAAAAAAACTCCTATTTTGTTAAAAATCTCTCCAGATGAAAATGATCAAAATTTAAAAGATATAGTAGAAATTGCTTTGGATTCAAAAGTAAGAATATTTATATGGTATATGTAATTCATTTGGTTCAATGATAATAATATTCTATATTTAAGGTAGATATAATGAAATAGTTAAGATATTCTCAATGATAAGACTATAAAATCTAAGTCCAGGTAAATTATACTAAGCATCTTGAATTGAAATTATCAATAATACACTTGAGAATTATGAAAAATGTTTATATAAACCTATAGATATGAAAAAAAACTTGTCTAACGTTTATTTATTTTAAAAAACATAAAGTTTTATTCTATTATAAACTAGTAAATAAATTCATTTATATACAATATATGATTTATTATTTAAGTTCTATGGAATATTTATGATATAATGGATTGTTTAAAATATTTTCTCTCTCTCTGTTGTGTATTACAATAAGTCAGTCAGTAACAACGTGCAACTTCGTACGTACGTACGTACGTACGTACATCAGTTCGAGTTGCCATACCACATTAGCACAGAGTTACAGTTATCGATTCAAATCCCGTAGTGGTAGAGGTAGTAAAAGTATAGGTAGTAATAGGGAACATTAGGGTTTGATGATGTTATTCAAGGAGTATAGTCCAGAAAAATAAATTTGGGAAGAAAATAAAGAACATGAAGAATTCAGAAGATTAGAATTTTGGAGAACACAAAGAGTGGATGCACCTGCGCCATTGCAAACGATTTTGAGTCATATAATTCAAGGTCTCTAACCATCGGTCGCTATTATCTCGCGGTCCTCAACCAGGTAGTCTACACCCACCAACACGGCTCAGTCCACTTGTCAGTGACTTCTTGAATTTGTGCCATGTTTTGGACTGGTCGCCCCTAGCTTTCTTCCAACCTACTCCGACACCATAAAACATCGCACATCAGGGCAGTCGGTGGTCGGTTATACGTAACACATGTCCCAGCCATCTCAACTGATTAAGTTTCACTCCTTCATCAATTGATTTGCCATCCTTACCTAGTACTCGTTTCCTAACAACTGCATTACTTACTCGGTGGTCCCAGGATATACGAAGACATCTATGGTCGAATACTAGTAACCTATGAATATCCTTTACTCTTATCTGTTATGTTTCACTGCCATAAAGTAGGACGGGACAAACTGCTGCGCAGTAAATACGTCCTTTGGTATTACGATAATATTACAATAAAACGTTAATAAGATAATAAGACTAGTCACATCATACAGGAATCAGGATTTATGACTCAGAATAAAAGAATCAGAATAACATTTTATTCAATACAATTACAAGCAGTCACTGTTAGCCAATCCAGAGTAGATATTATTGACAGAAAGGGAAATCATATATTTAATAGTTAATTTAACTAAATGCCTGTTTGTCCACGTTCAATGAACAATCATATTTTATTTTCACTACTACATATCAATTTGTATGAAGTTTTCATTCAATAGTTTACGGACTTAACTTTTATTGAGATCTTGAACCGATTAATGCTAGACCATCATTGAAAATCTGGAAGCACTGGATGTCCCTTTCGTCTGCTCAGCAGTGCTAACGAAACTAAAGGTCCTAGGTTCGAATCCCGCATCGCTGTGAAGTCCTGCAATGGGACGAAAAGGCCGTACAGTGCTTCCAGGATTTTAATGGTTGTCTAACATCAATTGGTTCACGATCTCCATCAAAAATCTAATAATCTCCACGACCCTTTACTGATATTTAACTTTCAGTCGATAAACCATTCATCAAAGCTACTTTTAATTTGATTATTGACGATTATTGTTATGTTTGTATGGTTTCTGTTGTGTCTGGGGTCTTCCTGCTTATACTTGACAATTGGGAACAACTTTAATTTCCATAATGTGAAGCGAAAACACAAAAACTGATACAAATGAAGGCTTATGGACTCTCTAGAACGAGACCCCGAAACTATTGTCGTTAAACCATATACACTCATTTACATACTGATTTTACCATTCGCTTGTTGATTACTCGATAAACATCATATGAATGGAACGATACAGTTACTACAGAACACAGAAAAAGTTGACTGACGGTAATACAAAGACTATAACTGTCATACTGGGCAAAATTTCACACCTATCATACTAATACAAACATATTAACCAGAAATAATGTTACACTGGAACAGATGAAGCCATTGTTATATCGACTAGGATATTACACGGCAAATGAAACCAATGTCATAAAATGTTATGTCGACTTAGAAAAAACGTGAACTCGCCTTTTTATTCAGATTTATTGGTTAGTATTATTGACCATTATACAATATGCATACAATCATACATGGTCATTACTATTATTATTTAATGGATAATGAAATTCAAAGTAAATCCTGTCAGTCACTTCCATCCCAAAGTACTCTTCAAAACATTCAATATGTATCTCTTACTACCTTTATAGTTACTTGATTAATTCATAGATAGTTCCTGGTCATTAAACTCAAAGTTATTCATAACGGTTATGAATCTGAAAAATGATCAATCATTGCTCTTCCTCACGAGTTATGATAGATTGGAAAATAGGTAAATATGATGAATCTGAAATTCGGCATAAGTTTATGAATTCACTGACTTTCGATTTCACCTGTGTGGAGAAATGCAAGCTTCTTGATTAGGGTTCGTATTATATTTCTGTTCTGTCGTTAAAAAACTGCTTTTGTATATACATTCAGATAGTAGCACTAGCCTTAACACAAATTATGACCCAAAAGCGAGTACATAAACCTACTAATAACGACTTATGTTTTTTACATATCATTTAATTTATCCATAATTTACAATAGACCTCTCTTCAATTTGTAGACTCGAATAGACGGTATGATCATTTCAAACACTACACTTGCAACTTATGAAGAGGCTGTAGCTTGCGGTGCTGCTCCAATACCAGGGAACAATGAACAAAATGTTGTTTATGGTGGCTTAAGCGGTCGACCATTATTTGAAAAATCAACAGATTGTTTAAGGAAAGTTTCTGCATTAACCAAAGGTGCTATACCCCTGGTCGGTGTTGGTGGTATCAGCTGCGGTGAAGATGCATTGTCCAAGTTGAATGCCGGTGCAAGCTTAGTGCAATTATATACAAGTTTTGTTTATCAGGGACCGCCGGTTGCTCATAAAGTCGCTAGAGAAATTAATAAATTAAAAATGGCATCTTTAACTGTCGACTAAAAACCTGCTTTTTGTTTCTAATAAAAGAATATTTGTGTTACATTTAAATAGAACTTATTTATACATTGTCTTAAATCGAGCTTTTTTTGAAACAATACTAGGTCAAATTTATTGTAACAAAAATGTGTGAATTCTTTGCAATGACATATTCTCACGTTCAAATGGCAATGTGATAGCTGTTGCGTTTCAGTTTGTGACTCATTAACAATTCATGTACTCAGACGGCAGTGTGACACTTGATTCTCAATGGGCTTTACAGTTGATATGCAAATTATCATCACACTAATTGTGTTGCTGAGAATTGCTTTCGTAAATGATGTCCGTCATATTGAGATGGACGATATCTGTAACTTAGTGTGACAATTTCTCTTGTTGTGTGTGCACTAAAACTACTGAGCCATGCTTAATTGTATCGAAGTTCCGCTGATTGATGCTCATACGTTAGTCGTCGAATGATAGATACACACCACTGGTTATTTGTTGATACCTAGACTTCATAGCATTAGAGTTGCTTAGGACATGGTTATACCATTTGTGACTAATACTTGTTCACAGTTATTGGCCAGTATTGACAAATAATGAATGGGATATTCCTCACAGTTGTTTCGCTCCCACAGTATCGCTTTCGAATTACAACTGATAGAAATCACCATTATTTCCTTGAGATTTGAACCAGGTTGCCGGGAGAAATGTTGCATTTATACCTTAACCCGTCATTTTTCCAAATATACTTTATACATTTAGTGTTTTCTACGTATTTGACCTGGGATTTCAAACTATGTGTTTATTTAAGGAGTAACTATTGCGTGCTGTCACCAAATAGGAGAAGAGATCGTTTAGTCATACATTTAAGTCCGTAAAATACATATTTAGTACGCTTTTACATCCTACTTTCAAAACATATTGCTTAACTAGTTTTCATTTTCTTGAAAAGGTGTTATTAAATGAACACTGAAAATTTATAAACCGCTTGGTGTTAAACATCGAACAAAGTGAAAACATGTCCAATGGTCAACGCGACTAAATACTGATCATTAGTTCTAATTAATTGGTTCGAAACTTCTATTACTTTAGAAATTAAACGACAGATTTTTCTTGGCTCTATTTTGTTGTATGGTAGCCAACAACAACAAAAGAGAGATGAGAATAAATAAAACAAAGCGAAAAGGGTGATTGGTAATTCACAACAATTTTTCAAATAATTTCGTTATTTATTTATAAAAGACAAACATCAGTGTCGATGATGATAGTAATGATAACAATACTGGTACACAATGACTAGAAATAATGAACAAAGAAAATAGGGAAAAGGAACGGTATCTTTACATTGTATATGAGGAGAATTACCTGGGATAAAATTACAAATATATAATTACCATTGACACTACATTGTTCAAATAGATTTCGGCTCACAGAGATAAAACAAAAAAGAGAAATTACAATGTGACAAATAAACAAACAGAAACGCTGTGTTAAATAAATAAATGATATTATAATAATTATGACGGTGATGATGATAGTAAATGCCTATGAGATATCTAAAAACAAATTGGCATTAAACAAGAGTTTAAAAAAATAGTTCTGAAGCAGTCAGCAAAATATAATAACAAATCAATAGAACTGCACAATAAACTGAATGTTGGAAGTAAATGGAAGAATCTTTCCACTCCCCAGCAAAAATGGCAACAATAGATATCTTTCAATGTTACATAACAATAACAATGATAACAAAAATTGTTAAGTATTGCTGCAATTACAATTAACACAAGTAATAGTCTATTTTACAAAGATTTATAACAGTAAAACGAGGATAAAGAACTAATTGATTTATGAAGGTAAGGTATGTATATATTGTCAAAAGAGAAGTCTTATTTATCAGTGGTGATGAATGTCAGGTCTAAAAATAAGAATATTTCATTCTGCATATCTCTCTTGTGCTCGGTGTTTATTTCTTTTTTCAATCCAATAAATGTTTCTCTGGAAAGAAGATTCAAGTGAGACAGAAATTAGGATGTTAGAGGTCAAAAGAGTTAAACTAGGACTAGCTACAATCCAAGTAAACCAGTTCATCAACCAAAAAATAATTTGTCGGAGAAATCAAAAGGCTCTAGGAAGATTGCACACACTTATAGTAAGGTGTATCAAGTTAGAGAGATGAATTGACTTTATTGACCGACTTTCTATAACTAAGCAAGCTACTGTTTGAGATCCTTCACTGTCGATACGAATAAACTCACTTGAAAAAGAACTAGAGTTTTAACATTGATTATTTAGTAGTCTCATGATAAACAAACTATATGGAGAATATCTGCGATTGCATACATATCACCCACACAGCGGTGTAGCAGGACAGTGAGCTATGTTATTTTCTGTTTTTTAGAAACTAGATACTCTCCAACGGGCAACACAAATTAGATTATAGTAGCAGATTTTTATTTTCCTCTCACAAACCTGATGGTTTATGACAGATGAATGATTAAGTTACAAGATTTTCTAGGTGTTTAATAAACATAGTAATTTTATTTAAAAACAAGACTGAAGAATGTAAAAATGATAATGTTATGTCACTGGCATCAGTAATTCTTTGTTACCATAAAAAATGATACCGAAAAGGAAGTAATGAAATACAACCTATACCGTAGGCTTTACTCAGCTAAACAACTATGTTACACTGAATTATTTCTCCAGGGTTTCTGAGCTATTATTATTTAGTGATGAAATATATCGAGCAGACAACTAGTGAATTCTCTTACTTATATATAAATTTGCGACCTACGTGGACGATTACATTATCCAAACTAAATAATCTGATGTGCAACACTAAACTTTCAATCGATAAAACGTTTTGAATGACCTTCATGTGTATTGATAAAATCGACAAATTTCTTTCAATCCGTCTGCCATTGTATCATATAACATTGAAATTGAGTGTATTGTATGTAGCAGGTATTAAAAAATTGATAAACTAATGTGGACGGTTACATGTAACCTTTTATGCCAAAGTTTAGTGATGCAAAATGCTTTTCAAGTTTACATCAATAAATGACGAATACAGGAAGTTTATTATCTCGGCATATATGAAGCTCAATCAAAGAATATTGTTTAAATGAGCAATGAGTTATTCCATTCAACCATTCGACTAAGAGAGGATTAAGCTGATATATATATGGTCTGTTCAGTACATATGCTAACTGGCCCATCAAGATTGTAACTTTTAGAAAATAACCAAACAAACAATCTTGCCGGACTAAAACACCATTTATCACCTTGAAGAAGTTTGTCTTATCCTAAAAAAAACCCAGTTATACTTCATTAACACAAAAAGGTAACAGATAATCCACTAAAAAAAAATTGATAATATCTATGAACTTACAGCATAGAAAGTGATTCAATAGAAAATATTACCATCATGAATGAGAACGGATGAAACGTGTTATTATTTGTTGTATCATTTCGCTATAGATAACAATCTTGATTACTTTATAATGAGAAAATAACTTTTAAAATGAACATGACATTGAATATAATGATAAACTGTTAATACAAAAGATATAATATTAAAACAAAGGAGGTAAATATATTCCAATCATAAATTCGATGAATATCAATTTTATTGATGTCTGAATGATGATACAATGGTAGTTGTTGTTGTTGTCTTTGTATTATCATGATGATTAAGAAATACAGATTTCAAGGTGTTATTACTATTGTTATTCACAAACAGTGAAAAACCAGTCATATTTCGTACTGACGACTGATAACGAGTAACCTAAAATTTATAAGAGATAATTTTTACAAAAAGAACTTTAATAACAATAAACAACAGGTTGAAAAAGTACTACACTATAAATGTATTTAGTCGTAATGGTCATATATTGGTTGTAGAAAAACGCCTAGATTGTAGTGCTTGAACTATTTTCTAAGCTACTGCATTATAATAATGCGTAACGGATAAAAATGCTTAGCGTTCTCCACCTTTATCCCATAACGTAGAAGAAATCAATTGCTTTATTATCCGAAATGAAGAGATAAAAGTGATGAATATTTTAGATAGAAAAGTTAGAATACAAATATTCTCTACGAAAAATAAAAAAACATGACTATTTATCATAAACCAACTTGATGCTATATTATGACTAGAGAGTAAGATCAGTATTTAAAAAAACGGTGAGATTATGATTTATGGAAGAACCAATCAGGTATAAGATAGCAGGTTTCGGATTTCGCCGCGAAAATTATAATTATAATTCCTCACAATGGCTTATAACCTTCATCTGGTCCACGTTGTGGATACTCTCAAAGTCACTAAAGTATCGCTCAAAAGTCATCCATAAATTAGTCTCACCAAAAAACTAGTGTACCACAGTGGTGACCGACCTATAACTCTACACATTTTTAAATAACTAATTTGTTCACGATAATGACGTTAACACATAGCAGTATGACATACAGCTAAGTTTTCAGTGACATGAACTACCTAACAGCTATTTAGTAAACAAAGATTTTTGTCTTAAGAACTTCAAATGAAATTTTATGAATAATAAAGAAATATTATCAGATTGACAAACTATTCTTCTTCTACAAAAGTAATTGTATAGAATAAAATATGTACTTTCATGACTAAAGACTTGATTATTAAAGCCATCAAGTCATTGCTTTACTAGCAAAGAATAGAAAATAAAGCAGTCCATAAGACACGTAACTGAAAGACTTGTTAAAACGAATGATTTGTTTATCTTAAGCGGCCAAATCTTCAGATCTAACTGCTTAATGTTTGATATTATATCTGACTGGAATGAATATTTATTCGAATGTGATAAGTCCTGTTAATGTTGAATATACATAAATACAATTACCGCATATGTACGAATACATTTGATTCAACACCTAATAAGTGTCCATTTTTCCAAGAATCTCGAGAAAAACTATTTACTGATTAATAAATGTCCTATTTAGATGATCATTCACATTTTATAATGAAGTTTTAATTAATTTTAGCA